TGGATAAGCTCCAAGAAGTTTCTAGATTATCCTTAAAGGAATTAGGAAATCTAATAGGAAAAAGGAAATATGTAATACTAAAGCTAAAAGGAAATAAGCTTAGGTTTAGAAAAGGAAATCTATAACCTTATATATATAGATCATTAGATGGATGTATGATCACAAGAAGGAAGAGAAAGCTTGTGTTTAGTTTTGAGAAGATTTTCTAAACATCAATAAAGAGAAGGATTTCTTTATACAAGCTTGAGGTTTTGTGCTTTTGATTCTTTACATTATACACTTTTTTTTTTCTTTTACTCAAATTTTAATAATTTTATATTTAAGAAAACCCACAAAATATCATCAATGTACATGCTCTAAGGATTGAATTAATATAAACTAGGGATATGATTCATAAAACGACAAAATTAGATCAATTTGCTTTATAATAATTAAATCAATTTGTTTGATCAAAAGTAAGTGGAAGAGAATCTAATACGAGAACCAATGTGTTTCGAGACAATATCGTTGTCTCGTGACAGCTTCTAGATCTCTTATTTGTAAACAATGAACCTAACCTAATGATCCAGAGAACTCCATTAAACTTGTAGATCAACTCTGTTCTTGAGCTTAGTTCTTATTATTTAATTTGTTTTTGTTTTCAGTGTTTATTTATTTCGATAATTAGTGGCCTGGTGCGCCACAAATGTTGTTCCCTTATTGGGATCGTCCCATGTGATCACAAACTCGACGATTGATACAAAGTATCGTTCGGAGACATGTGAATTGCTTTATTGGAGTTGTGTTATGCTGCTTTATAAGAAAAGATCCGTATATTGAAGATTATCGAGATTAACTTCAAAACATAATTAAGTAGATATACAATTTCGACTATCTAATACAGTTTCCGATCATATCAATTATAAGAAGTCATCTCTTAAGAAGAAGTCATTTATTTATTAGTCAACATATAATATGTTTAACTCGTTTGACGATGGACGCATATTAAATTTTGAATCCGTGTAATTTCATAATCAATTAATTAACACTACGTTTCACGTTTTATAGTAGATGTTGTTTAGCGTGAATTAGAATAAAAATGTATAATATACGTACGTGTACATACAAAGATGATTGATCTGCGACGTGGTCGATCGTGGTGTATATTGACAAGACTTTGGAAAATATTTATAATCAAACCCAACTTATGATTATTAGACTGCCGGCTTATAGTTTGTTGAAAATTCAAAACATGACTGAAATGTATTGATTACATACTAACATAAATGTCTTCATTACATTACTAGTATTAGTATAGTAATTTTTTGCAATATTAATTTGGTAATGCAAATACAGAGTCGTTTACAAGAAAAGGCACTTTGCCTCAAACATGTTACAAAAAGAGGCGCTTTCCACAAGTGAGTGACTTTGGTGGAGGTGAAAAATCATTTTTGCCCCTCTAGTTACTTATCTAGTTACATTAGTGATTTGGTTTAGTTTGATTTTAGTAGTTTGGTTTTGAGATCTACTTTTACAGATTTTGTAGATTTTGTAAAAAAATCCCAAAAATAGGCGAATCCCAACCTTGCATCTCTCTCTATTCGATTTCGAAAATATGATCGAAACCCCGGCGAGCCACCGTCTACCTCACCGTCTCCGCCACAACCAATTCCTAGAAGAAGCAATCCATGTGTTGAATCACAATCCTGAATCTTCCAATAGAGTCGCTGCTAATCAATGGCTTGTTCAATTCCAGCAAACTCCTGCCGCTTGGGACGTCTCTACTTCTCTTCTCACTTCTCTGTTTGTCTCTCTTTTCGACCTCCAATTCTTCGCTGCCCAGATTCTCCATCGAAAGGTCTCGCCTTTTCATCTCTCGATTTCGAACCCAACCCAAAAACCTATTTTTTACCCTCTTTCTTTTTATTTGTGTTGGTTGGGTTTCAGATTCAGAACGAAGCATCGAATCTTCAATCAACAGACAAAGACGCTCTTCTCAATGCCCTTCTTCTCGCTGCCAAGAGATACAGCTCCGGTGTTCCTCAGGTATGTGCCCTTT